CTCGGTCTGTTGACACGAAAGTTAGTTCGACACAATTTCTCTTACCAGAATCTATCTTGAAGGCGACCATTCGGGCATTGAATATTGCTGCTACACCCGTTTCGTGTCTAAAGATTATTGACTAAATCCAAAGAATCTGCAATGTTATCGGTCCTGACCAGGCATCTCGGTTTCGGGCACTTTCCCACTGCCACAACGTATCTTCCCAATGCATTTTCTATAAATATTATCAAGGCAATTTTTCTGGTCAGTTTTCCTATTTCTAAATATTCAATGGAGATTCATTTTTAAATGTTGTTATTTCTTTTTTATTCACCACTCCTACAGACAAATTGTACATATGGGAACTATTTACGGTTCCATAGAGACTAGAGGTATTATGATGGCTGTTGTTAGAATGGCAAATAAGAATGTTTTATTTTGGTGTAAGGAATACTGGTGGCTAGCTTAGTTTAAGATAAGACTGATTGAAGACCAGCCTTCCCCTAGTCCCCCTTTTGGCCTTGGGCCACATTTCTTTATTATAGCAAAATAAATATTGTTTATTTCTTTGATAAGAGGACTTCACGCATTTAAGTGCGGTAATAGATAGGCAGTTAGTTCTCATTTTACTGTTGAAATTGCTAGTTTTAACCATAAGTTCTATTCTAATATTTCCTTCTTTTGCATTTCTTGTCCGTGGCACACTTTTCGGGCTTCTTGTTTTCCTGTCCATTACGATCTTCAAAACTTTAAAAGCAACGTCAATCGTCATTTCTGTCTATTCGAATCCTGTTCATTTATTGTCCTTTTTCGACTGACTTCAACTCGACTGACTCGAAGTCGACGAGAGAGAGAGAGAGAGAGAGAGAGAGAGAGAGAGAGAGAAAGAGAGAGAGAGAGAGAGAGAGAGAGAGAGAATGAAAGCGTCCGCTTGCTGCTAAAATAATTATGGCAACTACAAAGAACAAAAACGGTGAACCCGAAAATTATTTCTCTACTTTCAGAATTATTTGCCATATTTGTTTGTTTGTTTTTTTTTCTGGACTTTATTTCATATACATTGCTTTCTTGTAAAAGAAGCATTATTCTTTTTATACCAATTTTTTCCTAATATACATAGACATAAATTTTTCTTTGGACTCGAATCGACTCGTTCATATTTGATTTTTCTGCTTGGTCCGATTCTCGCCCCAACGAACTTGCAGGTAGACCAGCTGAATCTTCCGGGATCTACGATTTGTTAATTTCTCTCCAGGATCAAAAAAAATCACTCTAACAGGAAAGTGAAATCGAATCGACATTGTGAACCGTAGTCTTTGATTGAACCATTAATACGGGACCAGGACAGGGCCAACGGCCGGTCTTGTAGAGTACATCGATCAAGTGGCATCAGGATAGGTGTTACAGCTTTATTACCTTACTTGAGATGAAATCAAGACAAAGAGAGATAGAGAGTGACTTGCTTCAGTGGGCACACATTTCCTAATGGCGGCCATAATCGGTGTTCGTACTCAGAAAAATAGAATTTTGAATGCGGATTTTACGAGTAGACTAGCTCCTCAAAATTTAAAGATTGTTAAACGGAAGCTTTCTACTCCGAATTTATCTTCATCTAATCTGCCAACAAACTCTCCTAACTTAGAAAAATATATAGCGTCAATCTTACTAAGGTAGGGATAAAAAAAAAAACACTCTCTTGCGAGTCGGTTTTCACAAAGCGCTGGTTAGAAAAAAGAAGCTGCACGAGGGAAATTTACATCTTACCAATGGAATATGAAGGAAATGAGGGTCGTTTGCGTAGCATCTGAGGGTCTTAACCGAGAAGATTAGAACTGGGGTAACTTAGGAATAGAGTTCATATAAGGACTTTCCATGGAAATAGCAAGAGAGCAGTAAAAGGTTTTCGATGTTTTCTCAGCGGGAAGGGATTTTAAAGTGGAAAATTTGTCACCGACAAGGACGCGTAGAAGTTTTGAACTGGACTGGAAAATGAAGACTGGGAAGTTCTTGCAGCAGTGCTACATTTTTGGCCTGGTCTGGCTCTTGTAAAGTTAGAGGATATCAGCAGGTTTCAGGTATTTACTGCAGCGGTACCGGAAACCGACCATTTTGGGCCTGATCTGGTTCTTGTAAAATTAGCGGATAGCGCGAGGTGTCAGATATTTACTGGAGCGGTTCAGGGAACCGACCATATTTGGCTGATCTGGCTCTCATAAAATTAGAGAATATCAGCAGGTGTCAGGTATTTACTGCAGCGGTACCGGAAACCGACCATTTTTGGCCTGATCTGGTTCTTGTAAAATTAGGGGATAAGCGCCAGGTGACAGATATTTACTGGAGTGGTACAGGAAACCAACCATATTTCCAGCATCTTTAGTCATGGTTCGTATATACGAGCTCCACTTGAGATCTGAATTGGGTTTATGGCCCAATATTATACTAGCACGAATTTACACGTCTTCGTAGCAGTGTGTTCGAGCATATTGTTCAACAACAGACCATGCCAGATTATAAGCTTTCTCCCAGAAAGTTTAACGAAGCCCATCTCAACATAGTTACAGTACGAACCACATGTTTATTGTGGGCCTGGTGAAGGATTACAAAATCTGCCTGAGCTGGCGTCTAAAACAGGGTTTAGATAAGCATATAAGAAAACTTCATAGTCTCCCCAAAATTGAAAGAGTGTAACAATACAAAGTTTCTGCTCTGCATTTTCCTTCATTTAGAAGATTGTGTTGCACCAAGCTACCAAGCCTCATTTCAGAATGTTTGGCTCTGTGTTGTCGGAAGATACGCTTCGTAAATAAAAATACCAAATGTGGGATTTGTGGAGAGTGTGGCGGTATCAGTAGAAACGCATTGAGGAGGTAAATGAGGATAAAAAAAAAAGCGCGGAGAGTAAAATGGTGACAGGGGTGGAGGGGAAGTTGGCTTGATTTTATTTTACAGCATATCAACACCTTAATGGGTTCTTTAATGCCGACAAAATTTTCATTATTGGTAATATTTTTTTTTTCAAAAATCTATTTCTGATAATATTTTTCCTTCAAAAATCTATTTCTGGTAAGAATTTTCCTTCGGTGTTAATATTTTTTTCTAAAACTGTACTGCTGGCAATACTGGTCTTTGAAAAATGCATTGCTGGCAATAATTTTTTTTATACAAAGTATTTCTGGTATTAAAACCCACCTTCATAGTACTCCGACCCGGGTTTAGGGGGTGGGGCAACTACATGCCAATATCTGGGACCCCAACAGGTGCCACTTGGTCTGGGTGGACCCGGGAACACTAGCAATCAAGAGGCAGTTCCAGGCTTCTCAAAAATCCCCAGTCAGAGGCCCCGCTGCCGGACGTAGTCTATCGTCATACTGAGGACGCAGATGTAGTTTATCCTCATACCCAAGACGGGGGGGGGTTCTTACCCCTCTGCAGAGTTGCAGTCGACGTATTCTACATCCCAGCTGACAGGGTGTGCGGAGGGGAAGGGAAAGGTTTGCAATGCAATTTAAAGAAAATAACGAGAAGAAAAACAGAAAAGAATAGACTATGCAAGATGGATGTGTTTCCAGTTCATAACTGCACGTACCTCAGGAGAAGAGGGGGAAAAAAAGATATCAGAAAAGAAGAGGAAAAGAGAAAACAAAAAATTAAAGGTAATTTAGCTGTCCCAAAAAAAAAAAAAAAAAAAAGAAAAAAGTAACCAGGCTATTAATCCAACTTTGCAGCCAACACTCGAACAAAGAGTACAAAAAATCATGCATTTCATTAGCATAAAGTGGGTTTTATGTGATTTTAACATTATCAGCGATGAGGGCCGCCCTCGAGTTTCACACACTCCAACACAGTTGGCATTATCAACCCTTAATCCGGCCAGACCGGAAAGTTCTCCAGCCCGTTAGCATTTAAATATTTATAGCTTTTTACTGTCTGGCTTGAATAATTTCCTGCCAAGGAGTGATCACTATATTACCAACAAATACAGTCGTTCAACTTGATATTCCTTCAACTTAGCCAATCGCTATTCTTGGCGTTACATTATAACCATTGGTCGCCTGCTTCCAGCCACACCCTTTCAGTCACTTTTCCGCCTTTAACACAATGTCGTCTGCTTCACTCACTCATGAACCTAAATGGCTTGTTTTATGGTGGAATACTAATGCAAGCCTGAATTAGCGAAACTCGTCTTCTTTTCTTCATTCAAATATAACGCAAGTTTGAAATAACATATTTTTTGGCAATTAAATTTTGAATAATACACGTAAGAAGTAAATATTTTTAATATTTCGAAATTTATTCATATTATCATCAGAAAAGTCATTTATTCCAAATTCTAAGTAATTTTTTTTCTCTGACCTTAGTTATTTTAAATAACTCGGCATTATTTCTTTTATTTAAAAATTGGATCATTTACATTGCAATATTCTGATAATGATGCTTTTCAAGTGAAATTTTCTATACTATCACGCGTTTTTGACAGTAGTATCGTCTGTGTGGTTCCTGGAATTAAACCCAGCCAGTTAGTCCATAGAAAACTATCATTTGGCTTCTGTTCATCGACCTTTTCTTGTAGATAACAATGACTGCTGCTGCTACTACTACTACAACTACGAGAAATTGTAGCGCCACACGCCACGGAAGGTGATCGAGAATGGCCAAGTTAATATTTTATAGGTTCACAACATCCAAACAGACCGCATGATTGAGCCCACCGTACCAGATATTGCCACCGTTGGCACGAAAATACCCACTTTCTGAAGCGATTGTCCTTGGCAACCATAAAATCAAGATCAAATTTGCCAAGCTCACAACCTAGTTTATACCTGAGGTTATTCTAGGCTAGGCTTAGTTTATACCCGGGTTGTAATTTACACTTGGCCAGTCTATATCCCCGCGTATAAAACAGGTGTGACTAGAATAGACACCCTCCTTCTCCCAGGTAACAATATCATATTATAATTCTGCTTGTGTCTTACTTATCTAGCTAGTTAGGCTTACGGCCCCTTCACGCTGATTAATTGCTTCCCGTGCGATCACCGAAGTTAAGCAACATTCAGTTTGGTCAGTACCTAGATGGGTAACCGCTTAGGAATACCAGGTGCTGTCAGCTTGGATGTGTGGGTGATATGACGTTGAAACACCGGTTCCCGAAAGATTGCAAGTTAAGCAATGTCGAACCTGGTCAGTACCTAGATGGGTCACCATGCTGTAAGCTTAGATGTGTGGGTGATATGGCTTACGGCCTTATCACGTTCCAACACATGTTCCTGTACTATCACCGAAGTTAAGCAATATCGTGTTCGGTCAATACCAAGAGGGGTCACCAATTCGGAATACCAGATGCCTAAGCTTAGATGTGCGGGTGGTATAATGGATAATGGCTTGAAATTGTTAATTGGAGAGCCGAGTTCCAATTCCCGTTGTGTTCGTCATATTCACTTACGCGCAAATAACCTAAGCCAATGTATGGATCCCCATATTCTGCCCCCCAGCTATGGGTTAATTGTATCACTAAAACCATTATTATCGCAAAATAATTCTTACAATCTAAAACTATTTTCCAGCTTTAAATAACCTGCAAAGGGTTGATAAGCCGTAAAAAACGAGTTAATTAATCAATCAACTAAATCGACCTCCGGGCTGAAGTTGCTAGAGAGGGAGACGTTCAGGAGACTATTGTCTTGGTTATGATTGGAGTGTTGGGTTCTATAGCAAGGAACTTAAAGTCCTATCCTGAGAAAACCGGAATACTATCTAGGTTCCTGTCGCTTCAGAAGTCCACATTGCTTGGCACCGAAAATATTCTGCTATCTGTTTAAGGAGTTACGATTTGAAGGGAACACACATAATACAAGATCTTCAGTTGAAAACGAAAAACAGAAATTATAAGATAGAAGAAAACTATTAATAAAATAATAGCAATAGTGAAGAGTGTTTCTTTTTTTTTACGGATTATCAACCTCATTGGGTTATTTAATGCCGACAATTTTTTTTTATTGTCGGTAATATTTTTTTTCAAATGTATTGCTGGTAAAATTTTTTCCTTCAAAAATCTCTTTCTGGGAATATTTATTTTTTTCAAAAATGTATTGCTGGTAATATTTTTTTCTTCAAACACTTATTACTGACAATAACTTTTTACAAAGTATTTCTGGTATTAAAACCTATTTTTACATTTTCATAGTGTTTTTGCCACAGTTTGGGGGTAAACTCTTTACCCATAGCTGGGACCCCAGCAGGTGGTATCACCCCGGGTCAGGGTGGACCTGAGAATAACAATTAAGAGGTGGTTCCACGCTCCTCAAAACCTCCTGACCAGAGGCCTTGATGTCGGACGTAGTTTATCGCCTTACCCAGGACGCTGAAGGGTGTTGTAATAAAAAGTAACAATAATAAGATGAAAGGAAACTAGTAATAATATTGTAGAAACGAAACTTTTTTAGTCAGTATTAAAAAGACTACATACTTTTTTATGTGTTTTAATATTCGATTCTGTGTTATTAATCACATTTCTGTTAATTACATTTTGGCTCTGGTTACAAATTTACTTTCCATTTAGATCAGCGCTCCTTAAACTTTTTTTCATTCATTACCCCAGTTTCCATAACGAGAATTTTCGCCACCCCAACTATTAAATATAAAATAAAAAATACAAATAAATCATTTATTTATTTATTTTTTGCAGAACACAATGCACATAAAAATTGTAGCTATATTATTTGCGAAAATAAAAGTAGTTTTAAGATTTGTTTTAGGTACAAAAATAAACAAAAGTAAAAAAAATAAACAAAAGTAAAAAAAATAAACCAAAGTAAAAAAAAATATACGAAAGTAAAAAAAATATACGAAAGTAAAAAAAAATTAAACCAAAGTAAAATAAAATAAACTAAAGTAAAAAAGAAATCAAAGTAATAAAAAATAAACCAAAGTAAAAAAAATAAACAAAAGTAAAAAAAATAAACCAAAGTAAAAAAAATAAACCAAAGTAAAAAAAAATATACGAAAGTAAAAAAAATATACGAAAGTAAAAAAAATATACGAAAGTAAAAAAAAATAAAATAAAGTAAAAAAGAAATCAAAGTAATAAAAATATACGAAAGTAAAAAAAATAAACCAAAATAAAAATGTATACGAAAGTAAACCAAAAAAAATAAACCAATGTAAAAAAAAATAAACCAAAGTAAAAAAAGAAAAAAAACAAAGTAAAAAAGAAATACAAAAATAAACCAAAGTAAAAAAAATAAACCAAAGTAAAAATCAATGCGACGGTTTTTTTTGGTTTTTTTTTTTGCTGTATAACAATTTCAAACTTGTAATATTTGACACTAAAACTGGACATAAAGCTTATTTTATGATTTTCAGCGTTGAACGATATTTGGTTTTAATAAGAGTTAAAGCTGAAAAAATCGTTTCACATCAGTATGTGGTGATAAGTGACAAAAAAACATATAGCGACATTTCAGAAATTATGGGAACTTCAGCCTTAGCTCCGATTCGTCAAAAGTTTTTTTCAAAGTTTCAAGTTCCTCAGTGAATTCAAGTGTTGGAAGTGAATTTTCGCGACCCTAGTATTTCGCATCGCGACCTCATTTGAAGCCGCGACCCTTAGCTTAAGAAGCGCTGTTCTAGACAAAGGAAAATTTATAAACTTAATATCCCCTAAATTATTTTTAAAAGCGCTTAATCAATAATCCTCACTTTACGGCATGCCTAGTTTCTGGGGACCAGCCTTCGAAGCAACATCAAACAGAAACAATGGCGATACTTATGGCAATACACAGATGAAACTGCGAATTTTTTGCACCAATTCATACACAAATATGCATGGGTTTCCATCTTGAAAAGAACTTAAATTTCATATTGGGGATATGGAAATAGGGGAAAATGCTTTTTCTTATCGTGTGATTTGCACGCCTGAAGAAGGCTTTAGAATAGAACGGTCGAAACATTATGATTACGACATTAACAACATAAAAATTGAGTTTGGACGGCTTGAAACACCAGTTATAGGACGATCATGAAGAGAACAACACCGAACCTGATCCGTAACTCTCTGGGTAACTGGCCGGTAATACCAAGTAGTGTATTGGATAACGGCTCGGAATTGTGAATCAAAGTAGCCGAGTTTCAATTCCAATCGGGTTCATTATATTCACTTATGCACAAATGCCTTTGGGAAAGGTATGAATCCAACTCTTTTCCTCTAGCTATGGTTTAATTAGCAGGAAATATAAATAAATCATTGTCATCTTTTAAAAAAATTCTTACATTCTAAAAATATTTTCTGTCTTTAAATAACCTGCAAAAGGCTGACAAAAGAAAAAAAATATGGTAAAATAATCTCAAAAAGTTGGGAAGATGAATAAAACTTCTCAAAATTGATAAATTGATTTTAACTGAACAGGTAAATTTTTTTTTTTAGATATGTATCTATAGTGATGGTAATCTTTGGGAAAAAAATGCCGCATCACTATAGATAAACATATATAAAAAAAATCTACATGTTCAGTTTAAAAAATATCACCCTTGATAATGGCTAGTAGAATAGCCGAAAGCGCTCGGATATATAAAACATTCGGACAGTTTTTACACTCTTTATGCCCGGAAATGAAAAACTTATGTTCACATGTCGATTTTCTAAGTGTAGCTTAGACGTGACACAAGGTTGAAAATATGGGGCACCCAGTGAGGATGAAGTTCACTATTCAGTCGAAGCGCATTAATACTTATAAGAAACACAGGAAAAAATATGAATAAAAAGCTTAATCGCATCATCTTGTCAGTTGTTTTTAATGAAACACACACACACACATATATGTATATGATATATATATATATATATATATATATATATATATATATATATGATTGTATATAACAAAGATTGTGTTTCGCCAAAGAAAAAAAAAAATGGTCGACCAGGGTATTTCTGAAAGATAACGATATTAGAGCAAGAAGTCCTTGTAATTAAAGTATCCAATATCAATAAATAGAACATTAATAGCAACAAATAAAATTTAATATCCAACTTATCTCTTTTGTGCAGATATAGGGCAAGTTGAATATTAAATTATATTTACTTCACACACACACACACACACACACACACATATATATATATATATATATATATATATATATATATATATATATATATATATATATATATATGTATGTAGGTGTATCAAAATACTTTACAAGCTTTGGGGCGGGTTCGTCACAAACAAGGTCAAAAGTTCACATGAACATACGTCTGCAAATCATTCGTTTTTGAGTTATTAAGTTTAAAGTTTACGGTAGATGGTGTTAAGGGTACAATCCAAGATACAATCCCAAAATAATTATTACCATAGTTTATGGTGCCACGGATCATATCTCAGCAACGTGACGATAAACTGCCGCAAAGTTTGGATGAGTCGGCTACCTTGGGGTCTGGAAATGCGATATAATAGAGTCGTGCAGCCACGCATCCATTATCATTCTCATAGCCGTATGTAAAAATCATATCTGCCATGTTCAGTGTATGAATATCCTGACATTATTAAACGGAACACTTCTCAGTAAATTCATTACTACATACATTAAACGTTCAAGACAAATTAACCACAAATGTACACGAATGACTAATGTAACTTAGTCCACATGGCAACACAGAACCAACTACCGGAAAATTTCTTTAAACTTAATAACTCAGAAACGAAAGATTTGCACACATATGTATATATGGACATTTGTCCTTCTTTTGGTGTGAGGTACCCACCCCCAAAGTTTATAAAAGTATTTTTAATAAAATATATATATTTTATATATATATATAATATATATATATATATATATATATATATATAAATATAACTCAGAGCTGAAAGAAAAAGAAACAAAAGGAATGGTGTGTGAGAGAGAGAGAGGGAGAGAGAGAGAGAGAGAGAGAAGGAATATAGGAAGAAGAGAAATAACTACAACATTCTGCTTAATTGCACATACACACACGGACGGGCCAACCCACACATACGTACACGCACAGACATATATCTATCTAGCTAACTCTCTCTCCTCTCTCTCTCTCTCTCTATATATATATATATATATATATATATATATATATATA